GTGCAGCTGCTTGGGTTGCAGGGGGCTCTGGCAGCACCAGGGACTCAGGGGAGTTGGCAGCTAGGGCAGCAGGAAATATAGTGCTCTAGAAAGGTATGGCAACTAGTATTGGCCAACACGCTCTAGTATTCTTGCCTGGAAGCCTGACAGGCCACAGTCCACAGGGTTGTAAAGAGTTGGCCAGACCCAAGTGACCCTGGGTGCATAAATGACATTTTCGCCTGTGTCAGCTCTGCCCCAGTGGGGGTTGACCATGAAGTGGGCACAGCTGCTTGGCTTGCAGGGACCCTGGCGGTGCCAAGTGTGCAGGGGCACAGACTGCCTCCACCACAGGAGTTATGGCCCTGTCAGAGTCTTCTTCAAGCCTCTTGTAGCTGGGGATGAGAAAGCCTCTTTGGCCAGGTTTTCTCCATATCTCCTTCCATTCAGGCACTTAGAGGACTCTCTTCTCTGGGATCCTTCTGTGTTGTTTGGTGTGTCAGGCACACAGAGGGCCCCCCCGCCTGGGTTTTGCACATCATCACTGAAAGGGGCACCTTGTGTGGGGTCCTGCTGTGTAGTTGTGTGTCAGGCATTTGATGGGCCAGCCTCTCTATTGTTCAGCTGCTGATGCAGGCATGTGGGGAGAGAGAGAGGCCATGGTGATGGCTCCATCCCCTACAGGTGACTCAGCCTTATCGCCTTGCTTCCTTGGCTGCCTGGCTTTCCTCCACAGGCTCTTCCCACCACAATCTCCTCCCTCACATCCTCTCGATCCGTCTCTCTGCAGTCAACAGCAGCCCTCGACCTGGGATTTCTCCACAATCCCTAATCTCAGCTCCCAGCCGCTGCCCCTTCCAGGGGACCTGCGTCCCTGTCCAGGGTGTGTATGGCTGCGGCAAGGACTGTCTGACTCTCATTCCATTTAGGCTGCCACGGATTGGCTGTTTTACTCTCAGCCTTAAATGTTTTTCCTCTGACTCAGTTGCCCTGATGATGTGGGGAGTGGACCCCTGCTTCAGTTCCCCCACCTGCCGAGGGCAGGTCCAGTCCTACTAACACTCCTCTTTTTCCCCCAGTTCCTTGTCCTACTGAGTTTTGCGTGGTTCTCTTCTTTTCTGCTGGTCTGATTCTCCTGTCCATTCTCAGCTGGTGTCCTGCATGCATTTCTGTGTCTGAAGGTGTATTCCTGATGTACCCGTGGAGAGAGATGTACTCCATGGTCCACCTACTTCTCTACCATTTTGTTCTCTGTAATGAGCTTTCTTTAATGAGTATACATAGAAAAACAAATATGTAATATAATATTAATAATAATGGATTAGAGGCACTTTTGAGACTCCATTTATTTTAAGGGGTGCTGACTGTATTTTTACCTTCTCTTAACTCTCTCCACTGAGTTTTCTGTTATTTAAGTTTGAATTTTAGATCTAGCCTACTGTTAATTAATTCTTGTTTTTTAAACATTATTTTCTTGGCCCCAAAAATATTTGATCATTTTCAGTTTTGTGCTGAGCTTTACAACAAACATTTTGACTTTATTTTATGCTTAACCATTTCCATTAATCATAATTCTGAAGGAATACCTTAGATTTTAATGAGAGTAACATCCTTTTCTTTCCAGAGAGCTTGTAATGCCTGTATGCTTGTGAGTATGCAAATCATTCTGCTTATTATAGTAGTAACGAGTAATAAATATTCATGAATTTTTTTTTAAATTCCAAAGAGGCTTTATTGCATTGAAACATTTTCAATTTACAGAAAATTGAGAAAACAGTACAACCTTCCATATATTTTACACTGTCTTCTCTATTATTACCATCTAATATTAGTTGATAAGTTACAATTGATAAAGCAATTTAACATATCATTATTAACTAAGGTCCATACTGTATTCATATTTTATTAGCTTTTAATAGATGTCCTTCTTCTGGTCCAGAGTCCATTCATGAGACATCATTATTTTTCGTTTAATGTTTCCTTTGGCTTCTCTTGGCTCTGACTGGTTTTTAGGCTTTTTGTTTTTGATGTCCTTGTTGTTTTGTGGGCTATTTTTTAGTGTATCCGTTCATGAGAATCTAAACATCCCTTTAAAACTATTCAAAACAATAAAAACTAACCATTAACATTAGCACCCAGGATGATCATTGTTAAATTATTTCAATATATAGATGTATAGACAGGTGTGTGCATGTGTGTTTGTGTTTTTATCCTTTATAGAATGTGATTGTGCTTAGAAATATTGTATCTCTTTCTTTTTTGTTTTATACTAAAATCAGTTTATAGACTTAGAATGGAATTTTAAAGGCACTTTGCTTTATTGCCCTAGATACTTACCAAAAATTGATAAATAAGCACTTAGGATATTTTAGGAAGACACAAGACTAAGACTATTTACATCCGAGTTAACAGATGATTTTTTTTTCTGGAGTTGATTATTATTTACTTGATCCTCTCTCTTCAATTTCCATGCCTTTTAAATAAATTTCTTGTATTAGAAGTATGTGGGCCCACAAAAATAGTAACACTGTTATTTCATTTTATGCTTTATCTTGTTTTCCCTTATAGCAACAGTCACTGACGGTCTTGCCCTATAGAGAGGATAGTACCAAATAAATCACCAGAAACTGGCCTAAACCAAGAAGAAGAAAAAAACAAACATATTTCTCTGTCCCCTCTGTTGTCATTGCTGACGGTTTAAATTATGAAATAATAAATCTTCTGTGCCTGAATCATCCTAATTATGTCTGGTGTTTTCTCTGTATTTTCAGTTTCAATTTCCACTGTATCTAACTAGAAAAAGACTCTCAGTCAGCTAAAAGCAGTCAAAGGCCCTCACCCCACAAAGCCCTGAGAGCCTGCCAGTTGTGTCTCAAGACCCCAGCATAGAGAGTATCCCTTTTCCTTTCTGCTCTTTCAGTTGACCTGAACCTCTCCCCCACTTTCCTCCTTCCTCCTTCATAGACTTCAGCTAGCCTGTGACTAGTCCTAGTGGCATTTACTCAGGAGTTGTTGAATCCAGGCTTTCTCTTGTTACCACTTCTCCTCTTTGGAAGCTGTATACCTGCTTTAGTGTCTTCAGATTCCTGTTTACCAAGAGGAGGTTTACCATGAAGCTAAGGGCTTCCCTGGCGGCCTAGACAGTAAAGAATCTACCTGCAATATAGGAGACTGGGGTTCAATCCCTGGGTCGGGAAGATCCTCTGGAGGAAGGCACGGCAACCCACTCCAGTATTCTTGCCTGGAGAATCCCATGGACAGAGGAGCCTGGCGGGCTACAATCCATGGGATTGCAAAGAGTCAGACACGGCTGAGCGAGTAATACTTTCAAGGAAGTAAAAGCATCAGGACCACTTACTTGCAAAGGTTCTTTTCAAAGTCATGAGCCTAATTTTTATGTATCTTTTGAGAAATGGCGTGTTACTGGGATCTAGTAGAGATGGGCTATTTTACCACGGGACACCAGGTGGCCATCCATTTGAACTGCTCATTATGGTCTGCCAAGTTGCAAAGTCAGACTCTTCCAGGGTCATTCAGCACGGTAGCAGCGGCATTACTCCTTTAGCTTGTGCCCGTGGCCTTATGTTTGTCCAGGTCCAATCAGGAGAACAGGGATTACACAGGAATTTAAATAGGTAGTTTAATAATATACTCCATTGGAGAGCCATTATAAAGATATCATGAGAACTCAACAGGTGTCTTAGGTCTGAGGGAAAGTACCCAAGGGAGGATACACTTGGAAGAGTGGCCGCTCTCCCAAGGCTGAGGTTCGGACCTCCTTGGAGAAGGTGTGATTTCTGCCTGCTTGATGGCTCGGGCCAGAGGCAGCCCACAGACATGGAGAAAAGCAGAAAACAACTCCAGCGGGTGCAGCTGAGAGAACCAATGCCACTTCATGTGCGAGCTGGAGTCTACAGTGTCCGAATCGGGATGGATGTGGGTAAACCACAAGTGTTGCAAGGGTTATACAAAGTCTGTGGAGGTGGTGACGCAGGAGCAAGACCTGAAGTCCATGAGGTGGTATCAGTAGGATCCAAGAATGTGGTTACTGGACCCAGGGAGGCCAGCGAGATCACCTAAGGGAGACATACTCTGGGAGCGTGAGCACCTGGGATAAAGCATCATTGGACTTCTTAGGCCACCGCTGCTCACGCCCTGTGCAGCAGGGAAAAAAGCAAACACTACCCGCGGGTGGAGCCTGTTCTTCCTTCAAGGTCCCTCTGGTGCCCTCTGCTGGCGAGTCCTACCACTGCCTTCACTAACGGAGAAAACAGCGTTCAATCCATTATTGCAGAGCAGGCAGTGAAACGGTAAATCTGGATCTGAGAAGGAATAAATTGGTCCAAACCAGAGATTTCTCTTTTTATCACAAGAACAATTGTTTAACTTTTAATCTCCATTTTCCTTTTTTATTTTATTTTTTTTGAGGCCAATTGTTGAGCTTCTCTAGCCAGTTTTTCTGTTTTCATTTGGAGAAATATCCCTTTGGACCATGACGCAAGTCTGGCAGCTGTTGCCCTTTAATTCCTTGCAGAAATGTCAGCAAAGTTATTTCCCTTCACTCCCAGAGAGTCAAGTTTAGGATTCTCCAGAGTCATCATAATAGCTGAAGTGACGGGCTTAAAGTATTGCATCTAATACCTGGTGAACATAGCAGCTGTTTAAAATTGTATTTGTTAGAAGGAAGGAAACCAGGTTGCTTCCACAACATCCCAAAACCATGAACTACTATAAAAGTATCATCAATGTAAACAGTGGCAATTAAATTTTCTCCCAGAGTAATGGAGCATGGACTAAAAATAACTGAGCGCATGCCCAGTTGGAGCAAATCATGAACAAGACATAAAAAGACCAAAACCCTAACTCCCCCCACGTTTGGTAAGTCTGCCTTCCTGGCCCCTGGGGGCCGAAGGACCCTCGTTCAGACAACGCTTCCTTCTCCTGACAGCTGCTACGTCCCCTCTCCATCCTCACCTTCTGTCCCGCGCTTCCGAGAGGTCGGGCCGTGGGCGGCTACCGCGTCACTCCTCTTGGCTTGTGGGACCAGCTCCCTCGGGCCGGCAGCGGCTCATCTCCCCGGGTGACCAGAGGGGCGGCAGGGGCTTGCTTCTCAGCACGCAGCTCCCTGCCTTGCGGGCTCTTCCTGACCGGAGATTTCCGAGGGTGGTAGGGGATTCAGACCTGGTACCATCTCGTGGCCAGAAGTCCGATCGTCCCAGTACCCCGTTTTCCTGCTGGAGAGAGAAGCCCCGAGGGAACGGGCTCAAGTGACAGATTTCTGTGAGGTTCGCGTGGGCGCTGGTCCCCCACACAGCGGACGAGCTTCCCCGGAGGCTCAGTCGGTAAAGGATCTGCCTGCAATGTGGGAGACCAGGGTTTGATCCCTGGGTGGGGAAGATCCCCTGGAGAAGGGCATGGCAAACCCACTCCAGTATTCTTGCCCGGAGAGTTCCCTGGATAGAGGAGCCTGGCGGGCTGCAGTCCACGGGGTCGCAAAGAGTCGGACATGACTGAGCGACTCACTTTCACAACGTACAACTGGCTGGATTGTGGGCTCGAGGACCTGGCAGGCAGTGGACGGGGTGCTCCCTCGTGCGCTGGCCCTTTCTGGAAGCGCCGGCGTGGGTGCCTGAGTAGACATCTGTAGCGGGTGAGTGGAAAAGGCAATCTCTCTCTCTGCCTCTTTCTCTTTTTCAGTCGTTTTTTATCCCTCTTATCCTCTCCGTTGGACCTCACGCCTACACTCCCGTCCCCTTCATCCTGGAAACCCCTTGTCTGTGTGTCTGACTCTGAGGAGGGAATTCTGTGATCCCCCTGGTGGTTATACCAGGCCTCGAGATCCCAGGGTCTCTCATTGTTAGCCTCCAGGCTTATATGGAAACATGGAAAATGCCCAGGGAACCCCCAAAGATTCTCCTCAGGGCTGCATTCTCCACAATAGAAGATTGTGGAGACAGTTTAAAAAAAAAGCTGATTTTCTTTTGCAATGCAGCCTGACACCAAGGTGCCTCAGGTGGCCAGGAGCAGTGGCCCTAGCATGGGGACCCTTTAAACGAGGACACCAGTTTGCAATTGGACCAGTTTGTTACGAAGTCTCAAAAATGGAGGGAGACTGAGTATGTGCCCTCTTTATGAGACTTTATCAAGAGTCCCGACTGAGGGGTTCCTGCCATTGCCCCCAAGAGACTCGGAGCCAGACCTCAGGGACCCCGGTTTTTCAACCTCTGACAAGCCGTTGGCCCCCCAAACCCCCTTTTCAGGCCCCCATTTTTTTCCTTTCATCACCGCCTTCAGCCCTCCACCTTCCGTCTTACCTTGTCAAATCAGAACCCTCCCAAGTTGGAGCCTCCAGAGCTTTCCCCAGGGGGGCTCCAATCGAGCTCAAAGACGGCCCCATCTCCGCCCCACAAGGCCTTTTACTTCTTCTGGGAAGTAGAAGACTCTCACCTTCTGGGAGTCGAGTGACAACTCAAGGGAGTGTCCCCTTCTCAAAGAAGCCTGACAAGTTTAGGGATGAACTGACCAGACTGGGACTGACATTCCCTCTCACCTGGCAGGACATCATGGTTACTCTGGCCCCCCGTTGTACCTGCGATGAAAAGGAGCAGAGACTGAGAAATGCCAGGAGACCCTCAGATGGCCTACTAGCTGCCAGTCAGCACCACCAAACTTATCAGGCAGGTGGGGATGAACCCCGAGCGTGACCCATGCTGGGACTATGTAGACAATGTAGGCAGGCTGGAAGGAGACATTATGCTACTTGTCTGTCGGAAACCATGAAAAGGCATATAGCGAAGCCTTTAAATTATGATAAGGTCCAAGAGATTACACAGGAAAAAGATGAAAACCTGGCAGTCTTCCTGAGCCAGGTGACAGGGACTTGGGGAAGGACACTCACCCAGACCCTGAGTCGGCAGAAGGGCGGCCACTATTGGCCATGCATTTTATCTCCCAGGCCACTCCTGACATCTGGAAAACGTTACAAAAGCTTGAGGCTGGGCCCCGAACCCCGCTGTCAACCTTGGTAGCGGAGGACTTCAAGGTCAATAATAAGCAATACTTCACAGAAGAGGCCAAAATGGACATGAGGCTAATTAAAAAATAAACAAAAAAAGCTTTTGACTGTACTGATTCTCCCATGACCTCAAGGGGACCCTGGAGGACCAAGAAGGCTGACTAGTGGAAGCCATCTGGGCCCAAAGCAGCATGTCTTTTGTTGAAAGGGAGGGAACTGGAAGGAGGGATGTCCTAGCTCCTTGCAAATCTCTATGAGAGATTCCTGCATACCATCTGATGGGGCCCGAGTGCCTTTCCAGGTCCACATCCCACTTGATCCATCCTCATGACTCCAGAGGAGCTGTGGGTCACTCGCGATGTGGCGGGAAGCAGAAATTAATTCTTGTTAACACTGGAGCCTTCTGCTCTGTTCTGGCTTGGCTGGCCATCTCCAACCCTGATTGCACTGTGATGGTAGCTGATAGACGGCCAATGATAAGGCAATTTACGTCTCCCCTTGCCTGCAGAATCAGGTCTATTTTTATTACTCACTCCTTTTTGTATATGGCAGAATGCTCTGACTGTCTTCTCTGGAGAGATTTGCTAAATCAATTAGGAGCTAGTATGTGCTTAGGGCAGGGTGAAGTCTAAGGAGGTAGAGAATTCAAACAGAGACTGCATCTGTTAGCAGCCCCAGGTGACCCACCTGCTGTTCATCAAGATACTCCCCAGGCATTCCCTCAAATTTAAAAACAATTAAATCTTGGATTTTGTGATACCTTGGTTCCAGGATGGCAAAATGTGTAATTTCCCTGACCTCCCCCACCCCCACCCCGCCCCCCACACACAATAAGAGTGATTAAAGCCTGGGGAAAAATACCCCTGGAAGGACATATCTTTAAATCTGAGACTCTGATGAGGAGGCAATCACTGCTCATCAAATTTTTCAAACACGGACTCATTAAGCCCTGCCAATCCTCTTGCAACACCCCAGACCTCTCCATTCATAAGCCTAATGAGGAATATCAGTTTGTGCAAGACTTGCAAGCACTAAATGTGGTTGTCATCCCTGTTCACCCAGTGGTGTCAAACCCACACACCCTCCTTGCCCAGGGGCCTGCCAGGGGACACTCACTATTTCTGTTTTGGACCTCAAAGGTGCATTTTTCTCAATTCCCCTACATCCATACTCCTCATACTTTTTTTGCCTTTGAATAGGATGTTGACACCCTGGAGGCTACCCAATATACCTGGACAGTAGTGTTTCTGCATGGTTTTTGGGATAGCGTCCACCTTTTTGGAAACATGTTAGCAAGGGAAATGAGGGAATTCATGCATAGGTTGATGATTTATTGACATTTAGTGAGACTAAACAGTGCGCTAAAAAGCAAAGATTACTTTGCCAACAAAGGTCCATATACTCAAAGGTATGGTCTTTCCAGTAGTCATGTATGGATGTGCTAGTTTGACTATAAAGAAACCTGAGTGCCAAAGAATTGATGCTTTTGAACTGTGGTGTTGGAGAAGACTCTTGAGAGTCCCTTGGATTGCAAGGAGATCAAACCAGCCAATTTTAAAGGAAATCAATCCTGAAAACTCATTGGAAGGACTGATGCTGAAGCTGAAGTTCCAATACTTGATGTGAACAGGGGACTCATTGGAAAGGACCCTAAGGGCAGGAAAAAATTGAAGGCAAAAGGAGAAGAGGGTGGCAGAGGATGAGATGGTTGGATGGCATCACTGACTCAATGGACGTGAATTCGGGCAAACTCCAGGAGACACTGAGGAACAGGGAAGCCTGGTGTGCTGCAGTCCATGAGGTCACAAAGAGCTGGATCCAATTTGGCAGTTGAACAGCAAAAGGTGAGACAAAACAGGATTTAGATCCAAATACTGTTAAGGTTCTAAATTTTGTGGCAGAAAGAAGAAATAATGTCTCCCTAACCATGGCTCAGATCTCACAGTCATGGGGCTCAGTATTTAGGGTTTGTTTTGACCCCAGGGGCAGGAGTCCTGATTGTTGATCAAAAACAGCAATTAGTGTATTACCTTCTCTGACCACAAGTTGGCAGCTCCAAGGCTTTCCCAGGATGGCTGGGTTCTATCCTATCTGGGTTCTAAATTATGGCCTTCCAGTAAAACCCCAATAATGAGGCTCTAAAGAGACAAAAGAGAGCCCCTTCAATGAATAGGGACCACCTGTGGGCTTTTGCAGCTTTAAGACAGTTGAGCACAGCACCAGCGCCGGGTTTCCAAATTTGGACAAGCCCCCAATATGTTCATGAGAGGTGAGGGGTAGAACTAGGAGTCCTGACCCAAAAGCTGGGGCTGGATCAGACAGCAGGGACTTACTTCTCAACACAACTTGACTCTGTGGCCCTGGGATGGCCAGGCTGCCTGTGGGCAGGAGTGGCCTCAGCCCTGTTGGTTATGAAGCTCCCAATCTCACCCTGTGACAACGCTGAGATGTGTTAACCCTCACCATGTACATTCTGTGCTGGAAGTTAAGGGACATTATTAGTTGACTGGGGAAAGGCTAACAAGATGTCAGACCCTCCTAGGACACCCCGACATTACCTTGTTGTTGTTGTTCAGTTGCTAAGTCGTATCTGACTCTGAGACCTCATGGATGTCAGCATGCCAGGCTCTTTTGTCTGACATGACCTTAAGGTGTGCCAAACCCTGAACCTGGCAACTCTGCGTTAAGTGGTTGAGAGTGGAGATTTTGTGCATCAGTGTGTAGACCCTATATAATAAACTTACTCCAGTGAGTCTGATCTTCTAGATGAAGCCTTGAGGTCTAGTGATTTACTGATAGGAGAAGTTTTGTAGTAATGGGAACCCGAAAGGCGGGGTATGCCACAGTTAGTCTAGATGAAGTCATGGAAACCAAGGCCCTGCCAGGCGTAGGCCCAGAAGGCTGAACTAACTGCATTACTGAAGGCTTTGCAATGAAAACGGATAAGAAATTAAACATTTTTACTGACTCTAAATATGGGTTCCATGTGATACGTGATACATGCTCATGCTGCCATTTGGAAAAAAGGGAAATGTTAACCAATAGATATAAACCCCCACAAAACATACAGATTTGATTCTGGCTCTTTTATAAACAGTACAGCTCCTGACCTGGGTAGCAGTAATCCACTGTAGGGGCTACCAGAGGGAGGGATCTTTTGTGAGCCAAGGAAACAGCAAAGCTGATGGAATTGAAAAACAGGCAACTCCACTGAAAGAACCTGAGCAAGTTATGGCCCTAGTGACTGGCCACCCTTCCCCGAACTCCCTAGCCTCCACCACAATTCACCACAGGAAGAAGAAAATGCTAAGAAATGCGGCTATGAGAAAGGAAATACAGGCTGGTATAAAAGGAGGGTAAAGTTCTAATCTCTGAGGCCCAAAGATGGAGACCAAGAGCTTATCTGCCACCACCCACCATGGGAAGGATGCACTATGGAACGTGAGGCCAAAGGTTTTTTCAGAGAAAAGGCTTAAAAGAATAAAACAAGTAACCTTTGCCTATGATTTCTGTGTGTATAGTAACCCACTGATCCATCCAATCCAATAATTCATAGACCTATCAAATCTCCCTTTGTTACTCAGGCCAGTTCATCGCTGATGGACATACCTGGGGTGGGAGTAGGGGAGAGACTGGCAGTCACATTTCACCCAAATGATCCCCATACCAGGATATTGTCCCCAAATCCCTCCAGGGCAATAATGGGCCTTTTTTTATAGCCAAAATCACAGAGGGGCTCACAGGGTCCCTAAAGATAGACTACAAGTGACATACCTCTTGGCACCCCCTGTCTTCAGGGAAGGTAGAGACAGTGAACCCTCTTTTAAAGAAAATCTTAGCAGAGCTCTGTCAAGAGACTCATGAGCCCGGGACCACCTTGCTTCCTATTGCACACCTCAGCATCTGTAGCCCCAGGAGGGGTCTGAGGCTTAGCCCACTTGAAATGACTTATGGGAGGCCTTTTTTATTTTTATTTTATTTTTTTACCACTGACATGCTGCTAGATAAGAAAGTGAGCCTGTATAATGGCAGCACACTATTAATCACAGACAAATTCAGAAGGCAATCCAGGGCTATGCCCACTGCCAGCTCCCACTAAATATACAGCAGAGGGTCACTTTCTTCAAAAATAAACCCCAGGATTTAAGTTCTTCTTAAAACCTGGAAATAGAGGTCCCTGGAAGACCAACTAGTACCAAAATGTAGGGGCCCCTATAAAGTAGCCACCCCCAACTGCTGTCAAACTGGGGTGGATATCTTGTTGAATACATTTGTCCAGACTAAAGCACTTACTTCCACAAACCCTGCAGGTCACGAAAGAGTGATAAACTAGTGAGTGTATTTGCTTGGAAGAAGAAATAGCCAGACCTCTCTTAATGGGTAAGAAAGAGGTTTGTGTCTCATGTGAATGTTCACTAAAGGGTAATCTCAGCAGGGAACAGTTTTTAAGAGCCCAAGAGGAGAGGATGACCCATTTTGTGGATACTAGTCAGCCTTTTTCCTAGCCAGGCCTCTTTTCACCCAAGGGGCTCATGACCAAGGTGATCATGGTGGCAGAATGGGTTTAGCAATGTGGAACTCCACTCATCAACCTCAACCTGGCTGCACCACTGCTGATGGCTTGCCTTCCAGCCACAGAGGAGCCCAAGGTATGGCACCATTCTCCAGAATGATCAGCCAGCTACCTGGGGGCAGGTTGATTACATTGGGCCACTTCCATCAAGGGTTGGGAGGGTTGTTTCCTTATTGGAATAGATACTGTGCATTCAGATTTACCTTCCCTATATGCAATGCTTCTGTCAGAACTGCCATCCATTGACTGACAGAATGACTCACCCATGATCATAGTATTTCTACTCAGCATTGCTTCTGATCAAGGAACTAACTTCACAGCAAAAGTATTGCAACAGTGCCCCCTGGGCTCATGGAATTTACTCTTTCCCCAGCATACTGAAACTGCTGGCCTGATAGAATGGTGCCATGGCCTTTTGAACACTCAGAGTTCTGGGTAGGTGGCAGTATTTTTCAGTTCTGGGGTCAGGTTCTCCAGAGGACTGCATATGCTCTAAATCAGTGTCCAACATATGATGTTGTTTCTCCAAGTCAGAATTCATGGGTTCTAGAATTGAGGGTAGAAATAGAAATGGCATCTTCGCTATCACCCTAAATGATCTACTAGCAGAATTTTTGCTTCCTGTTTCCAGACTTTAAGCTGTGTTGGCCTAGAGGTCTTAGTCCTAGAGGGAAGAATGCTTTCACCTGGAAACACAACGGTGATACCTTAATTGGAATTAAAACTGCTACATGGCCACTTTTGTTCTTTGTACCTCTGAATCAACAGGAAAACAAGGAAGGTAAGGTATTGACTGTAGTTAATGATCTCGAATACAAAGAGCAACTGGACTACTACTCAACAGTGGAGGTAAAGAAGAGTCAGTATGAGTTAAAGAAACCCTGTGGAATGTCTCCCAGCATTGGCACGCTCTGTAATTATGGTCATCGAAGAACTACGACGCAGAAAGGACTACTAATGGAACAGACCTTTCAGAAATGAAAGTTTGGATCACCGAAGCATCAGAGTAGTACCAGCTACAACCTTGTGACCAGTTATAGAAATGCAGACTGTAATTTTATGAGTATATTCTCCTTACTTTGTTATGAATACATTTGTCTGTATGTAAGCATATATTAAGCAAAAATATGTTTTCTTTCATCTTTTATTCCTTTATCATGTAACATAAGATGTATTGACTTTTATAAGTATTTAAATATTTTTAATTTTTTTATTAATGCAAAAGATTTATTCCAAGTCAGTTATTTTATGCAGCATTTTTCTCCCTCAACATACTTGTGATAACCATATCTTTTAAATCTGTAAATAATGTTATCAAAATAACCTTAATCTTTGAAACCTCACAAAAATTTATATTTTAAAATCCACCCTGAATATCAAGGCTGCAAGAATAACACATTTCCTATATCCAAATATTATGTACCCAGAAAGAAAAAAAAAAAAGGGAAAAAAACCACATAAGCTTGGTTAAGGGCTAACATTACCTGAGTGGCCAGAAATATAATAAAATATCCAAATTGTTAGCATTAATTTAATACAATTATAACTTCAGTAGTCACTTTGTCATTGACAGTGATGGCTTGAGCACAGGGGTGAGTGCCCCAAGGGCTGGTAGTAGAAGCTGTTGTTGTAGACCAGTGTCTCCTTTCTGCACTGCCAGCTCCCGCCTGTGCATTGCCCCATATATACTGCGTATGTATGTGTTTTAAAAATCTTTCCCACCACACAAAGTTCTATTAAGCAGGTAACAGGGGAAGAACAACAACAAAAGCTAAACAAGCCAATCGCTCGCTCTCTCTTTAGGATATGATTTTTTTCCCTTGTGCATGAAGTATTCAACAATGACATAAGAAAAGGAAAAGAACAATTTCTTCTGTATAAGCCCTAAGCACACAAGCTGAGTTTACTGGGTCAGATTTGACCATGAGCATTTTATACGCCTACTTCCAGGCATCGTCATCAGATGTTTCACAGCTCCTTGTCTGCGTATCTGCTTCCTCAAAGTCTGCCCTCTAAGTGCTTCTCCAAGGGGAGAATAGGCTGGAACTTCGACTCTGCAAGAAGCCATTCTTCCCAAAGTCATTTCTTCTCAGCTGCTCTGTCTTCTTGTGGAACTTTGAGCTCATCGTCTGTGAGGGAAAGGCAGTTCTCATCATTTTCAGAAGATTCCTGCCATCCCATTGCGTTCAGTAACCTGTGCTCTGGTTCCAGAGAGTGAGAGAGAACCTCCCCTTCCGCTTGTCCAGGGAGAGCAAGACCATTCTGATGACAGCCTTCCCCTCCATTTTCCTTTGGCTCGGGTGTGCGGTTGTCCTCCGAACCTTCTGACCTGTCACAGGCTCTGCTCTCTGAGAAGTCTCCATTCGCGTCATCCTCTGAGGCTTCCGGACTACTCTTCCTGTCAGTAGTTCGGCGGGTCAGCTTGGTCAGACGAGAGGAGCTGATCTCAGTCGGAGCAGTGGTGCTGGCAGGGCTCTTTTTGGGAGAACTTAAAACTATACCACCGGCCAGTACTACTGGTTTGCTAACAGAGATTGGACTGCTAAAAGCAGACTCTCGGCTAGAGGAAAGGGATCCTGATTTGTGTTTCATTCTGTTAGCTTTCCACCTACTGGCCTTGGATGGAGGTGGTACAGGCTTGGGAACCAGGTTCTTATAGACACTTGGAACCATGGTGGATGATTTGCTTTCATTTACATGGCGAGATCCAGGTGAGGTGAATACAGCTGAGAAGGCAGCAGCAAGATCTCTTTTGGAAATTTTTCTGATGGCTAGCATTTTGGAGGGCTGCTTGGCATGAGGTGGGTTTTTCCAGACTCCAGAAGGTGCCCCAATGGGTCTGCATGGCTGGTTCTGTTTGCCAGCTTCTGGATTCAAAGAAGGAAAGTCTTTCTCTTTAAACTGCAATTTTTCCACCTTATTGTCTTGCTTATCTTCCCTAATATCTGTAGGTGGCTTTTCCTGAAAGGTACAGCCTTTCTGGGAGTGGATGCTGCCATTCCAGTGTCAGTGGTTTTCTGTGCCGCCCCCACTGTGCTGGCTTATGCCATCATACCTCGTGAAGAGCAACGCCAACCAGATCAGTTCCCTGTGATTTCAGCATATGCTCCCTTAGAGACACCAGAGTTCACAGAATCATGGCGGAACACGGAGGGCTGGTGCCAAGAATCTCCTGTCGTTTGATGAGGTCTGTTGTTGAAAAAGCCATCAGAGGAATTATGTCTACTATGGCTTACTCCAAATCTACCATTTCCTTGGGGAAGGTGCTCTCTGTGTTTTTTAAAAGTCACTGTAGGTGACTTAGCTGACTATGGTGTTGAGAAATTTAGCCAAGCAGGAACAAAGTCATGCTGTGCCATTTAGGTCCAGTGTCTCTTTTCAACAAGGTGAGGCATCCAACCTTGTGGCCAGGATCCCAGAATGTATAACCTCTGTGGTCCTGCTTCCTGAACCTCTTGAGTTGCCAGCTGGATTTCCATGAGGTTCTCTTGTTAAAAGGGTACTTAATTAGGCTGGCCAACAGAAAGCCTTAAGATGAAGCACAAGGAAGCCAAGCTCTGTGTGGATCAATCTCTCAGTCCCCTCAATTGCTCATCTTAAACTATCTAGTTCCTGACACGTTTCCCAAAGCAGAAGGGGAAAAGGAAAGGGGGAGGGGAACATAAAAGTATTTGTTACAGTTAAAAAATGGGGGAAAGGGGAAAGAGCTATATCAATGTTCACCTCATTCAACTTCTTTGAGTGATGGCACTATGATATTGCTTAAACCTGATATTATGTGGAAATTTGCGCAGTGAATGCAATTACTGTTCATAACAAGGTCACAGCTTAGAAAGGCAGATGGATTTCTGGTCAAATAATGTCATTTGTGATAGATCAAAAATAAAACATTGAAGAGCTATAGAAGATCTTCCAGTAGTCAACTCTAGTAGTAAAACATCCACATTACAAAGCCCTTAATTTACAAATCTCATTATTTTTACACAGCTGCTAAAAATAGTCTGCAGGTATGAGCTTATATTTGTCTTATCCTTCAAAATCTAAGGACATAAGAAACCTTGTTTAAAAAAAAAACAAAAACAGACAGGAACTTGATAGGCTTTCTCCTCCTAGAATAGCAGCTTTCAAGGCAAATTTCTTGGTATAAAGCTCCCAAATGTTTCTTCTATTTCTTTGGTCTTCACTATTTATAAATGCACAGCAAAATTAAAACAAGTAGAAGGGCAGGGCTTAAGGACAGTCATGGAGAAAGTTCCAAAATGTGGTTTTCTTCTCTTCAGTTGTCTGTATTTCACTTGTTCTGCCCATTCCTGAAGACTAAATTGAGTTAATAGAAGGTAGGAATCTTATGCTTCAGTAGAGAAGTCATTTTGGATCCATTTTCATCATTCAGTTCAGTTCAGTCGCTCAGTCGTGTCTGAATCTTTGCGACTCCATGAACCACAGCACGCCAGGCCTCCCTGTCCATCACCAACTCCCGGAGTTTACTCAAACTCATGTGCATTGAGTCAGAGATGCCATCCAACCATCTCATCCTCTGTCGTCCCCTTCTCCTCCTGCCCCCAATCCCTCCCAGCATCAGGGTCTTTTCCAATGAGTCAGCTCTTCGCAGTCAGGTGGCCAAAGTATTGGAGTTTCAGCTTTAGCATCAGTCCTTCCAATGAACACCCAGGACTGATCTCCTTTAGGATGGACTGGTTGGATCTCCTTGCAGTCCAAGGAACTCTCAAGAGTCTTCTCCAACACCACAGTTCAAGAGCTTCAATTCTTCGGCGCTCAGCTTTCTTTATAGTCCAACTCTCACATCCATACGTGACCACTGGAAAAACCATAGCCTTGACTAGACAGGCCTTTGTTGACATCATTATTCAATCATTTAAAAGGTTACAGGGATCTATCACTTTGGCTCCTTCCTTCTTTCACATGTGCATGCTGTTAAGACTCTAGTCCCCCTAAATATTTTAAATTTTACCTCATAGTATTTAAGTTATAAAATATCAGAAGAGTAAACATCACTCAAGTATTTTCTCTCTTCTGGAAAGGAACTAGGACATTTTGGGTTGTATGCAGGGTAGTTATATCACTTTAGGCAGTTATGACCTTTATTTGGAGATTGAATATGGCTGTAGGAGGATGCGTATGGGTGCCAAGTTGGCAAGGGGGATGACTTGTCATGGTTACTTTTATGTGTCAACTTGGGGATGTCCAAATGCCTGATAAAACATTATTTCTGGGTGTGTCTGTGTGTTTTGGGGAGAGGTTAGTATTCAAATCATTAGACTGAGTGAAGCAGTCTACCCTCAGCAATTCTAGTAGGCACCATTCAATTTTTTGAGGGCTTGACTAGGACAAAAAGATGGAGAAAGGTCAGTTTGCTCTTCGCTTGAGCTGAGAGAGACATCCTCCTTCTCCTATCTTCAGACACCCATTGGCACTCTTGGTCCTCAGGTTTTTGGACTCAGATTGAGACTTACATAATTGGACACCCATTTCTCAGGTATTGACTTGTATTGAATTACACTATCAGTTCTTTCCCAGTTCTTCCACTGGGAATCTTCCACTGCAGATGGCAGATCTTGGGACTTCCTGGGTTCCATAACCATGAGAGCCAATTCCTATAATAAATTTCCTCACCCCTCCTTCCTCTCCCACCTATCTATACAACTCCTATTGCTTCTGTTTCTCTACTCACACATTTGCATTACTATAGCTTCTTCTTGAAGCTCTCCTCCTGAAGGCAGGAGGAGAAGGGGATGACAAAGGACAAGATGGTTGGATGGCATCACCAACTCAATGGACATGAGTTTGAGCAAGCTCTGGGAGATGATGAAGGACCGGGAAGCCTGGTGTGCTGCAGTCCACAGGATTGCAAAGAGTCAGACACAACTGAGCAACTGAATAATGAACAACAAAGCTTCTTTTTGTCTGTGCATGCTAAGTCACTTAAGTCATGTCCGACTCTGTGGTCCTAAGGACTGTACCCTGCTAGGCTCCTCTGTCCATGGGGTTCTCCAGACAAGAATACTGGAGTGGGTTGCCATGCCCTCCTTCACAGGCTTTTTCCACCCTAGGGATCGAACCCGCATCTCCTATGTCTCCTGCGTTGGCAGGCAGGTTCCCCACCACTAGCGCCACCCCTGTGATATGTTCTTCTTTCTATTTACTAATGCTTTTTTAAAGCATTATTGTTAAAGTCTATCAAACTTTCTTTTCTTTGTATAGAGTTTCACAGTATATATATCTTGTACTTTGAACTTTTATATATCTGAAATTGTCTTTTGTAAGCAGCACATAGTTGAAATTTTTTTCCAGATCTTAAGGTTATTGTCTTTTGATTGGTTGTGGACCTGAGACTGTAACATCACTACATACCATTGCAACTTAAAATAAAACAGTGGTCTTTAATCACAGTGTTGCATGTCTTATATTGTAAATTTTCCTTGTCTCATGTCTACCCATTAACAGAGTTAATGCTTACTAACAGAATTAATATGAGGTAACTTTAAAAATAAGAAATATGTAACATACAAACTCATAAACATGCATTCCTTACAAATAAGTTATTTATGGTATTATATAATTTATATATGAAAATTATCTTTTCTTGACAGATGAAAGCCATAATGTGCAAGCTTTGAATCCCAGGTAATCAGTGCATGTTTGTTTCCTTTTCCATTTTTCCTGTTCATCAAAGATAATTACTCTGGAAGAATAAATGAAGGAGAAAACATCACCTGTATGATCAATCAAGTTAAAAATGATGATGAATTCAGCAAATGGTATGAGGTACTTATTTTGAAGTAGAGTTCTATCATGTAATCCCTCTGTAAACAGCATTTGAATACACAAATGCTAAAGAATTAAGCATTATTAGAAAAAAAAATAGCACTGCAAGAAATATTTTAAATGACAAATTTACCATGTCTATGATATAGCTGACAATATTGAAAAATATTCTTCAATTTGATTTTATTATGTGCAGCTATATTGCTATCTTCATTTAATATGCACTTATACTATTTTTATTTATGTAATACTTTAAATTTTCTCTGTCTGTTTCTCCCTCTCACCCTAAAATTAGTTGATACTTACTGTGATGTCATGGACTCTGTTTTCCAGGCTAGTCTTTGGGCTCACTCTCACTTTCCAGTTGCCTATATATTTAAAAGTAAAAATGATCATTTAAAACTGCATTTTCTTCAAAGATTGTTCTACAACACTCTATAGTAATCTAGCAGTATTGAAACAGTTTTGAATCCCTATCTGAGACTTGGGAGCAGCCACTACTTAAGAATATCTCACCACTGAGAGTATTTCTCAATGGTAAGCAAGGCTAATATGAGAAAAAGAACAGTAATAAAAGTTTACCTGGAAATGAACTCAGATCATACTTATAGATATAAAACATTATTAGCTAAATAGCTTTACATTTTTTTTTTTGCCATTCACATTCTGCTCATTTTCCTACAATAAATAAAACTCATCCAATATAAGAAAATTCCTTTAATATGTTTAAGTATTATCTGAATTATGAGACTATTTCATATGTCACATTATTTCAGCAATTTTACATAAACTTTTCAAAATATTTCTATGAATGTATTCTCTTTTAATTTATATTATCAATTTTAAATATGTTAATAAAGTTCTTTAAATGTTCTAATAAAATTCATTTCATCTTGAGTAAAATGAAGGGCATAGATATAAAACTCAAAGGCAGAAATTATTTCATAGCAATTTCCATGAAAGGAAGTAAACCAATTTTAATATTTGTTTTA